CTTCACAGCCGTCGTATGAAGGGGGGGGCTCAAAGTATTAACGCTTCTTTATCGGTTCACGTTTGTGAAAAACTTCTACAAGCAAATAAAATACAAATAAATTAAAAACACAAGAACGAGCGACGCAGTATTTATTGGTTATTATTTGTGTTTATTGACATCAAGTCATCGTCATCGACGCTGGTGAAGTCCATATCACGTCTGTTGTCAAGTTATTAAATCTTTAGTAAAGCTGTAGTGAAAGGTACATTCATACACGTTACATGTGGATATGTTTCATATGCTGAGTGATTCAGATGAAACACAAGGCACCGTATTGAAGTACTGATCCCGGGTCAGAGGATGTGCAAACAGGAACAGGAGATAAGTCAATAGCTCGCGGCCGCAGGTGGGCGTCGTCAAACATCCAGCGTCTGTCAGAGCCGATGTGTTCACGCCTTCGGTCTACGGGCTGATGCTGCTCTCTCTCTCTCTAAGGGCCGATCCGGGTGAGATCGTTGTCGAGGAATGATTAATAAAACAATAGAATGAGTCAGCTAGTTAGTCGACCACACACATCCAGTCAACGCGCTTTATTTCTTAGTTTCTTGCGACTTGAACATCACACGGTCAAACTGGTGATAACGTGTTGTCACACGTCGTCAACCTCGAGGCTCACGTGGTTCTGGGCCTCGGAGCTCCGCTCTCCTCCAGGGGGCTAACCCTTCTGTTCGTGGGTCCTCTCAGGCGCTCATGGTGACTAAATCCACATTGGATGTTGATGAAGTCTGCAACACGTTTTCATTCGTGTTTCGGTTCCTCGTTGCTCCCCGTAGTCCTGCTCTCCCACATCTATTCATGAGTGAAACGGGCTCAGCAGTCAGTGGAGGTTGTCAAACATAAAATAAACAGATTAGTGAATCTGAGGTCAAGGTTCAGACGAACATTAAAGGGTCGGTTCACCTAAGTCACACATAGTTCCATCACTTGTGTGGTCTCCAGCCGTGCAGACAGACGTGCTTCTCAACATATCGAAAAACGTCTTTGATTTGTAATTCGGGATTTGAAATGTCAAACGTCAGCATCACCAGAGTCAGAAGCACCCGTCTCCTGGGGACCATGAACGCACCGTATCAGTCCCGTTACACCAGAAGACGAGTTGAGTCTAAAGACATCCGGGACTTTATAGAAGAACGAGTTCACGCAAAACACACAAAAAACGCTTTCAGTCCGTTTTCTGTTGTTCTCTGGGCTGGAATGACGGAAGTGTTTTTAACATTTTTTATGGCAGGTGACAGCACACACACACACACACACACACAGACACAGACACACACACACACACACACACACACACAGACACAGACACACACACACACACACACACACTACCTGCTATCTGTGCACATCCTAGCTGACGACGGCCGGTTGGAGGAGGAGGGCCCTCGGGGGGACGACCAGCCAGGACAGAGGGGGGTCCCTTCGCCTGTGCCCCGCAGACAGGTTCAGCACCTCCCTCTCCTCTCCTCCGGCCTCTTCCTCCTCCTCCTCCTCCTCCTCTCCGTCCGTCTGCCTCCCTGCCACCCGTCCCAGAGCCCCCAGAGCCCCCAGCCCCAACACGGACACGGCCGACAGTCCAAAGTGTAAGAGAGGAGAGTCTGAGAGGGCGAGCGTCCTCACGGCGCTTCCTCCTCCGGTTAAGGAGAAGAGCGGCGCCCCGCGGTGGCAGAAAGCAGAGAAAGGGCCCCCGGGGAGGATGAGATGGGCCCCACACAAGCCCTGCAGATCAGAGAGTCGCTGGGGCCCCATGAGAGCCGGACCCGACCCGGCCGTGCTCCCGGCGCCGCGCTCCGGGGAAACAAAGTGTCCGTGGGCCTTGATGTGCTTGCGCAGCGAGCTGGGGTCGGTGTAGCGCTTCATGCAGCCGCTCATCTTGCAGCAGTACGGCTTGTCCACGTAGTGCGTGCGCGTGTGCTTGAAGCGGTCGCTGGAGTTGGAGTAACGTTTGCTGCAGCCGTCGTAAGGACAGACGTAGGGTTTTTCTCCTGGAGGCGAGACAAGAACTTCATTACAGGATGAAGACAAACATAATGCAAAATATATACAAACGCAAAAGCGGATGTAAGTAATATTAAGCTCTCAGTGGTTTATATGTCATCAGGACAAAATGGATTCTTCTCTCAGTGTAAACATTTAACGCCTCGTTAGTCTCAGATGCCTAAAGAATGAACCCGTCTTCACTTTAAAGCAGCAAGTTGGTACCACACCAAAGATTACAACAAGGCGTGAACAGAGAAATATATGTATTCATAAAAGCTCAACATGAGTCCAGCTTTTAGTGCCTGTTATGGAAAGATAGAAAGAGAGTGAGGGTGTCACATGTCTCAAACAAAGAGAGTGAGGGTGTCACATGTGACATGTGACACCCTCACTCTCTTTGTTTGAGTTCTAAACCCTTCGTTGGTTCACTGGTGTCACGCCCTGTGACGACGGTGGAGAATCACCTTTTTGTTCTCTGAGCTGAAATGTGTCGAACACTCAACGTGGTCACATTTCACAAGAACTCTAACGTTGTCATAAATCAAAAGGTACGACACAGTGTAGATGTGTGTTTGTTCACTGTGTGACTGAATGGGTGTGGAACACCAGCAGGTCCTGTTCTATAGATACAAAGTTATAATACTATTATACAAAGTTATTATACTATTATACAAAGTTACTTCTTATGTTTTGAGCCTTTTTCCAACAAAAGTTACATGAAATAGTCTTTTTCTCCCTGTCTACCTACCTGTCTACCTCCCTACCTGTCTACCTCCCTGTCTACCTACCTCCCTGTCTACCTCCCTGTCTACCTACCTCCCTGTCTACCTCCCTGTCTACCTCCCTCCCTGTCTACCTCCCTGTCTACCTCCCTGTCTACCTACCTCCCTGTCTACCTCCCTCCCTGTCTACCTCCCTGTCTACCTCCCTGTCTACCTACCTACCTGTCTACCTACCTCCCTGTCTACCTCCCTGTCTACCTCCCTACCTGTTTTAAAATATCAGTGTAAACAGCTTCCACTCTGTGGCTCCTTGTGTCCCTTTAAGGATAAAGAACATTACTCTCTCCTACTTTCTAAGCCAAGACCCGGGTTTCCACTCTTACATCTTTTTAAAGTTGCAGTATTTTTCTGGACCAACCGAGAGACAGACGGATGGACATTGTCATACCCAAGAACCGTGCTAATAGCATGGCTGAAAGGCTGACGATTCCTCCAACTCGTGAACTCACCACAGGTCATTGTGCTTGCTCTTGAAACCAAATGTTGTGAAAGTGCTGATAAAAGCTGCAGAAAGCTAATAAGCAGTGAAGAAGAGAAGCCGTGAACTGAGCCCGGCAGCACCGGAGGGAATCAAACACAACACATAATACGAGTCGGGTTTTCCCGCCTCTGGGTTCATGACACGGTCACAATACCAAAATAAAGTCTTTGTCAGCAACAAAAAGCCAGGCTAGTTTATCTGTGTAGGAACCTTCACACAAAAGACATAAAAGAGTGAAGAGAGATGCTTTTGTTCAATAATAAGTGACGGTAGGCTTCTCTTAAAGGGGCGGCGCACCGACTTCACACGTTAGAATCAGGTTGGGCTTTGTAACATCTGAGAAAATAACCCGGGTGATGTCATAGTGACGTCATCAGGTTTGGCCGACATCATGACTCTACGTCATCTACGTCCACAGAGGAAACACGATTCCTCTGAAGCTCCTCCTAAATGTCTCCTAAATGTCTTCTAAATGTCTCCTAAATGTCACCTAAATGTCCCGTTATCGATATCCCCAACATGTGAGGTGATGAACTGTGATTCAACTGATATGGTCTGTACCTACCTACCCTATCTGTCTACCTACCAACCCGTCTACCTACCTAACTACCTGCCTGTCTAACTACCTACCTACCTCTCTAGCTGTCTACCTGTCTACCTACCTGTCTACCTACCTGTCTACCTGCCTACCTACTTACTTACCTGTCTACCTACCTGTCTACCTACCTGTCTACCTGCCTACCTACTTACTTACCTGTCTACCTACCTGTCTACCTACCTGGCTGCCTACCTGTCTATCTGCCTACCTGTCTATCTGCCTACCTGTCTACCTACCTATCTGTCTATCTGCCTACCTGCCTACCTACCTACTTACCTGTCTACCTGCCTACCTACCTACCTACCTGTCTACCTACCTGGCTGCCTACCTGTCTATCTGGCTACCTGCCTACCTACCTGTCTACCTGCCTACCTACCTACTTACCTGTCTACCTACCTGTCTACCTACCTGTCTACCTACCTGGCTGCCTACCTGTCTACCTACCTGGCTGCCCACCTGTCTACCTACCTACCTGCCTACCTACCTACTTACCTGTCTACCTACCTGTCTACCTACCTGGCTGTCTATCTGCCTACCTGTCTACCTAAGTCTAGAGTACTCTTGCTGGTTTCTCATCATGACCAACTCTATACCTATAATAGGATCAACTGTTTGTTTGGTTCTTTTCATGATGTTTAGTTGATAATCAACAATCAGAACATAGAACGTGTCCTTGTGAACTCACCTGTGTGTGAGCGGGTGTGTATCTTCAGGTTCTCCAGTCGGGAGAAGCTCTTGCTACAGGTGGGGCAGTGGTGCGGCTTCTCATTGGTGTGTGTGCGGATATGAATCAGCATTTTATACCTGACAAACATCAAACACATTCTGTTTACGTCGGCTTTTGAAGTGTTCGTTATCTCCCTCTGGAGATGTCAGAAGCAGTTCTTTCATAATGCTGCTAGAACTGGAACACAACACAGAATCTGTGAACAAGGAGAAGACAGGACTTCTATGTTGCTCTGGTCCACTATACAGCAGCTCAACAGTCAAAGAAGCAACAAAGTTATGTTATTGATTGATAAATTAAAATGAGGTAGGATTTTAAAAAAAGACGGCATAAATACAAATAAAAGGGAAATAACCTACAGCAATGTGAATATATGAACTCTTCACATTCTCACTTATAGCACCGAATAATTCAACGGGATGATTGTGTCTTTTGTGTGTAGCATTGGAGTAGATTTCAATATAGACAATTTGCATATGTTCTTTCAGTTCGTCTCACTTTTTCCTTCCTTTGGAAAATTATTTGACTTTCAAACCTGACACATGGCACATTAAGTCATCCGTGTACTGGTTTATGTAAAACTCTCTTTATGAACAGAGGGATCGTAGGATCAAGATATGGAGGCCCAAAGTGAACTTTATTAAAATAAAAACTGAAAATGTAATAATCCGTTTTTTATTCTTATATGGTAATAAAGCATTGAATTGGAAAAAAGAAATTAGATTATGCATTTGCATTTTTTACTCAAATAACACATTCACGTGGAAAATTGCAGTGCTATTGTGGAATTACATTTTCAAATTTACATTTTAATTGTAATACAGGCCCCTCTGGGCTTCCATACATCCCTAGAAGTTGATACATGCTGATAAATAGAATTAAACCTCTTGAACCTCACCGACTATTGTTGCTATTATTATTATTATTAATATTATTATTAATATAAATATTATTATTATTCGTAAAATAATTCTATTTAAATACATTTCCACACATGATTTTGAGTGCTGGATTATTTTATAAACAGCAAAATAGATCAGTAAATTAAAAAAAATAATAATCAACAATAATTTACTAACAATTATTACTCCTGTATTTGTGATTGATGAGCATTTTTTAATTTTTTTAAACAATCAATACTTCAAACTTCTGAACCCGTCCCTGAGGGAGCTCCTCCCCCATCAACAGGATACCTGGAGTCATAAAGTCAGATTATACCTGGCATTGAACCCCCGGCCATTTCGAGCACAGCCGTCCCACCGGCAGCAGTACCCACAATCCTTTTCAGGCTTGACGTGGAGGTCGTTGATGTGGTCCACCAGGTCCTGCAGCGAGTCGAACAACAGGTGGCACTAGAGGACAGATTTAAACTTCATTTAGTTATTTATGTCACTTCACATCCTCGATTTACGGGGTTTCCTTTGGATTTAAATGCTTCCACTCCACTAATTGATTTTTATTTTTTATTTTACGTTCATCAAATCTTAATTAATCGAATCAAAAAATGAGGTATACATTAAACCATTTTAAACCATTTTGAATCCTTGTTCAGTGATTCAGCAACTTTTCTTGTTGACTTCTGTAATAATAACAACTTAATTAAACTTGCATACCATGCGTCTAATTCTGTGCTGCGTGACTTCTATTTTGTGAAACACTTTGTAATAGTTAATCGTTTAGTATTTAAAATAATAATAAATCACTTTTATACGATCCCCAAAATATTACATTTTTAGAAGCAAATCTTCACATTTTATATTCAACAACACACAAATGTTTGTGTTATTTTCTTGCTGGATTAATACAATGATTGGTTGAGTGTCCAATAATCATTTCAGAACCAGTTTTTAATTTTTCTCTTCTGTTTTCTGTGACTGGCAGTAATAATGATGTGGTTCTTGGCGTCACCTAGTGGTCAGAGAAATAACTGCAGTCTTCTTCTCTTTGATGTTCTTCCAGGACAAATTGAATGCATCTGATTAGGAATCAACGACTGAGACCATTATGAAGTGAGACTGCTCTTCTCAATTATTGATGTTTTTAATGTGTTTCAGTTGAGATGTCTGAAATCAGGTCTCTGTAGCACCAGCGTTTAGTTGTCTGATATAAAACATGTCAGTGAATGCCCCTCTGGTGAATCCTAAAAAGGGTCTAAATGAGACGACTAAACATCCTCACAAGAACACTAGTCCTCCTTTATCTTATTGGTGGAAATGTGAAGTCACGTGACCATGGTGGAGTTCCTTTATAGACTAACGTGAAGTCGCGTGACCGCAGTGGAGTTCCTTTACAGACTAACGTGAAGTCACGTGATTTTTGTATATTCACCTTCATCCAACGGCAGGCCAGCTGACCGTCCAATGAGGGTTCTGGTGATGTTTGCTTGTCTCCATTCTGACCAATGAACACGGAGGAGGGGAAGCTGTACGCCTTCGGCGGACTTCCAATCGGCAGATAAAATGGATAACCTTGTGGTGAAGCTCCGCCCTCTAGACCGCGATGACGAGTCAGCTCCTGAAAGAGAGGAGGATGAAGAGGAAGGTACGGTTAACCACATATCCTCATTCAATGCTTCTTATGAAGACAACAACTCCGAGACAACAAAATGTAGTTAGGTTTAGACAACAACACTACTTAGTTAGGTTTAGACGACTAAACTACTTAGTTAGGTTTAGACAACACCACTACTTAGTTAGGTTGAGACAACTAAACTACTTAGGTTTAGACAACTACACTACTTAGTTAGGTTTAGACAACTAAAGTACTTAGTTAAGTTTAGACAACTAAACTACTTAGTTAGGTTTAGACAACAAACTACTTAGTTAGGTTTAGACAATAGAACTACTTAGTTAGGTTTAGACAACAAAACTACTTAGTTAGGTTTAGACAACGACACTACTTAGTTAGGTTTAGGCAACAAACTACTTAGTTATGTTTAGACAACAACACCACTTAGGTAGCTTTAGACAACAAACCACTTAGTTAGGGTAAGACAACTAAACTACTAAGTTAGGTTTCGACAATAACACTACTTAGTTAGGTTTAGACAACTAAACTACTTAGTTAAGTTTAGACAACTAAACTACTTAGTTAGCTTTAGACAACAAACCACTTAGTTAGGGTAAGACAACAAAACTACTTAGTTAGGTTTCGACAATAACACTACTTAGTTAGGTTTAGACAACTAAACTACTTAGTTAGGTTT